GCTGACTTGTAGAGATGGCTATCCGCCAGCGCCTTGCATGCAAGTCTCTACACGTCTACAAGTTCCATACCAGGAGGTCTATGGGACATGACACGGCGACTGCATGAGCCCATGTGAGCAGCCGTTTTCATGTTCGTAAGAGTAGAAGGCTAGGCGCGTTGGTATTTTTGCATGTGGGTTCAGCGTTCCTCTGTGAAGTAGATAGGGGCAGCGAATTGTGACATGTAGGCCACAGTTTATTTTGCCATAAGAGCCCGGCACATTTCTCAAGACGAGGAACGAGATCAGGTGATTTTGTCAAGGTACACTACTACAAGATGAAGTCTAGAGCGAACGAGATGAGGGGCTGTGGATTAAAGAATGCAGCACAAGGCCCAGGCAACAAAAAAAAGCCCGCGCTCATGCGTGGCAAGAAGCTTCGACCATGCAGTATGATATACCTATGATAAGCATTGCGGCCTAAACTCCTAAAACCGCAAACCCCACAAACCCCTACAACCCATTATAACCCCATTATAGTAGTTTCCATTTTCTTTTCCATTATCCCCTATAAAACCCTCAAACCCTAAATCCTAAACCGTACACCCATCTACACCCCACCCTCAGCTGCCTCCTGCATGACCTTCTTCAAGCTGCCTAGCAAAGCCTTGACAGCAACGCAGAGCTTAGGGCAGGTTGTAGGCTTTAGGGTTTAGGGGTTTAGGGGTTTAGAGGTGCAGGGTTTAGGGGTTTAAGGTTTAAGGTTTAGGGTTCAGGGGTTTAAGGTTTAGGGTTTAGGGGTTTGAGGTTAAGGGTTTAGGGTTTAGTGACTTTAGCATTTAGGGGGTTAAGGTTCAGGAGTTTGAGGTTTAGGGTTTAGGGGTTTAAGGTTAAGGGTTTAGAGGATGGGCTTGGGTTTAGGGGTAAGCACTAATTCAATTACTGGTTGTCAGCAAGGAATGAAGAAAGTCAACAGAATTTTGGAAACTATTACAGGGTTTGGGGGTTGCTGTAGGGTTTGGGAAACGGCAAACAAGGCGGGTTGGTAACCTCACCTTCCGCTGTGTACAGAAGCTCTAATACATATATATATATAATAGAATGACCCTCACAGAGCGGCTGAAAATATTATAGTTTCCAATTTCTGTCACTTTCCCTAATCCCAAACCCCTGCACCTAAATCCCAAAAGTAGGCAAAATCATAGCCCAAAACCGACCAACATAGCCTGAACGCCAATATTCTACATACTTTTGGGGTTCAGGTAATGCATTTTTTGGTAGGGTTGCAGGAACATCTCGGCTAACTGGGCTCCCCACGCCCTTGAGAAGAAGAATTGTTGCGCCTCATGATTCCTTTGATAAGGGCACCCATTTTCCTACTATTGTAGTAACAAGGGTACAACTGGGGTACCTAGTGTTGCATAAGTGCTCCACAAGGCAATGTGTTGCGTACTGTCCATGCGTCGCAACTCACCATGCCATGCTGCTTGAGACGGAAAACACACCGCAGTACATCAGTCTTGCACAAATGGGCGCCTCGTTCGTCATGGAGGTGTTGATAAAACGCTTGAGCACCTCGCACATGGAGCCCTGGAGATGCAGTACATGGGCGCTTCCCGTGGAAGTGCCCACACGTCGGAGGGAGCAAAGTCAAGACTCAGGCTGGAACCTCGACGAAATCAGGATCGGACATCATGTGGTCCTAGGTCGAGAGGAAGAAATGGGAGCAACTTAAACCTGCTTGGGCAAAGATAGCAAGGCAAATGCTCACGCTCTTAAGGATCAGAAGCGACCCACAATCACAAGCACGCCAAGCATCCATCATCTTGACGATGCCCTTTGCCATTTTCTTGTCCTGCTACGCCAGTCAAGGGATGCAGGAGAATCTGGATGCTAGGCGCAACACCCCTGCTCCCGTCTGTAGGAGCCCTCTGATTTCGGCCCTCAGCTGCAAATACCCTTGGGCCTCGAAAGTCGATATCAGAGCGGGTGGCAGTGCGGCCTTCAGGGATGGGTCAAGCACCTGAGCGGGCATGAGCGAATCTCGCAACCATAACCATCTACGCAATAGCAACAATACTATTAGCAGCAGTACACAGTAGAAATAAACATCGCAGCAGCAGCAATAGTCCTAGACGCCGTAGAGGAAGTGAGGAATACGAGTAGCAACAGGAGTCGGAGTAGTCAATGTTGTCGTAGTCCCGGCATGATACTAGCAAATTGCACCAGCTTGAGTTGGATTCTGGATGCAAGACTGGGTAGATCCAGGACCTCCCTCAGGCAGACCACTGTTGGTCTACTGTGATAAGGACCTTGGACCTTGGAGTAGATTCTATTCTTTCAACGCAACCCCTATTCAAAGAACTCAGTTGAAGTACAAGACCTCATGTTCACAAGGCTTTACCTCTCTGCACGCTATCTTACAGAACAAGTGCAAAGAAGACAACAAGGTTCAACTCTGCTGCAGATGCATGAGGAAGAACTGGTGTGAAGAGCTACCTGACTTGTCCAAGCCCCGCGAACCACAACACAAACAGTACCTGAATATCTGAATGAGCTCGCCCCTCAAGTTCTAGTGGTACGAGTGTCTGAGCACAAGCCCTTGGAACATCAAACCCAGGCAACGTACACTCTCGTACAAGTCCGAGCCCGTGGCCGCTACGAGCAGGGACACCACTTGCTGCTTGATTGTTTCCAGGATTCCTTTGATGCCTGCGATGGGAATTAACCACCATGGGCTTTACGCGTATATCTGCGCGGGGTGGTAGGTTGTGTCATTGAAACCATGTCTTGAACAAGTCACTGATGCAGCGACAGCGAGAAGCGCCAGATAGTCGGGAAAAGGGGTGCATTATTGCGCTGAGCCGCTGAGCCATTTCAGAAAATTACCCTAGGACATTGTAGATGGAAGAAGCGTACACGGCATCAGCTTTGGGAGAAAAACTGTCGCTGAATGCAACGCGGTCCTTCATGTGTTTGTTTGCGCGTTTAGCTACGATGCTTTGGCCAAGGATCATATTGGACTACCGAAAAGGCACTTCGGAGGAGTATAGGGTGCGACTGCAACACCTAGATGCGCGCGGACAGATCCCGGACGCTTTCATGGGACAGCATCCATCAGCCACTGTCATGCCACAGAAGCAGATGATACCGGTAAAAGCTGAAAACACCATCGGAACGAATTCAATCGGGTTGTTGAGGGAAGCAAACTGGCTCTTCAACTGTTGACCTTCCACTTTGCACGCTCCATGCAAGCAGAAAAGGGAAAGATAGGCTATACGCACAAGCGCAGCATATGCACCAGTGCAAACTGAGATGATAAAAGAGCAACTTGGTCCCAGTCGATCACGGGGACCTAAGGGACCACTTATCTTACCTTTTGGTGTTTTCCCTTCCCCCCTTGCAGCCGCCAGCAAAGCAAGACCTACCAGCCTGAGAGGTTGGCAGTACCTGGACAAGAAGTTTTCTGCGTCCTAGGGATGTTGTCCAATACTGGAGAATCCAACGGAGAATCCGCTGGAAAGGAAAACGGCAAATCAAATGAACACTGAGATCATTCTGGTGCCTGTGATATAGGTGCACTACAAACCCCTGCATCCCGAATGAGTGAGTCCCCTGAATTGTTGTTGCATTGGCTGCATGTCTCAAAGTTGAGTTCAGTTGCACAGCTGAACCCTTACATAGCTCAATCCTAACAACTAGAACTTGGAACATGCTAGAACCATTCTATCATGTTGAATGTTTTCAGCGGCAACATGTTGTAGGGGGAGTTGAGTTTGTTTAGTAGGTGCCACCTACACCCCGCACAAGTGGTGGAGGGTTTTACGCCCCAGTCACATTCTGAAGCTAAATCAGATCTTGGACTCCAACCAACTAAACTCTGATTACATTTGGATCTTGTCAACCCGAGAGACTTGCCAAACAAGAGCACTTAAGACCCCGTGCCCAAAAAGCGAACCTTCTCCGTACCCAATTAGGCCCCAATCTCACAGTACAGACACGAAACCTGGCATTGCCAGTTCCCTCCCACCCCAAGGGCACCAAAGGTCTCTGCTGCCCCGGGCGACACGCAAATGGCCGCCAGAGCCAGCAAGACCGCCGGGGTGCCTTGAGATGGAACATCTTGTATTGCATTGGCAGCGGAAATTTCCTGCTGCGTAATTGTGGTTGTGCATGTGGTTGTGGTGGTTTGGTTGCTGTGGTAGTTCTGGTTGTTGTGGTGGTTCTGGTCGTGTTTTTGGGTTTGTTGGTGGCGGCAATGGTGGTGGCAGTTGTGGCGGTGGCGGGGGCGGCGTGTCGCGGGCGGTGGCGGTGGTAGCGGTGGTGTCAGTTCTGGGTTGTGGTGGATGTGTTGGGTGTTGTTGTGACGGTGCCCTGGTGCTGACGGCCGTGGTGTCTGTTGCCAAGAACAGGTGCAAGTCACAGATTGGATTTGTCGTTTGCAAAAGACGTAGCTATGAGTCACATGAGGTGGCCCGGCCCAACAAACAACTCTCGACTCAAGGCTGTTCGCAACGGGATCTTCTTAGGAAATCAGGATTTCAATCGGAGCCGAACCAAATAGAGGAAAGACATGTGCTCATTCGTGCTTTTTTGGTTCAAAGCAGCAGCATTCTTTACGGAGAATCCTGTAAAACCGACAAAAGGCCCGCGCAGGCCGAGTGAGATTGGAAAACCAGGAAGCATAAAATGATTAATAGCATCAGCTGCTCGCAATGATTTGAAGCCACTCAGTCAGTCACCCGTGCAATTACTGCTTACTGGAGAAGACTTTCCAAGCGTTGCCTAGCAAGACTTTGGCTGAAAAAATGCTTGCCGGTCACATTATACTTGAGTGCGAGCAGCTAGGAAGGACTTGTGCCGCGCGTGAGACTTTGCCTCATGCAAGAGATTGCAGCTTGGAAGCCGTTAAAGCAAAGCTGTGACAGCATCGCCACAGAGGCCGAGGGCCACTTGAAATCATTGGCAGCCTTCCGCACGGTGTGGGTAGCTGCACTGCCAAAATTGATTACATGCCAATATCATCCCTCATACTTGTCGAAAACGAGGCAGGCATTGGTGCCCCCAAAGCCGAAGGAGTTGGACGCCACTCGGGCAACGCCGCCGTCGTGGCGCTCCGTAAGGATCTTCATGCCCTCGGCCTCGTCAACCAGGTCCTCACAGCTCAGGCAGGCCAAAGCAGCAAGCACACAACTCCTATACCGATACCCTTGAACCCTCAGTCCTCGATATTGATGGACTCTGCGAGGAAGCCCCTTTCCATCATGAGGATCGAGTAGATCGCCTCATGCACTCCCGCCGCGCCAAGGGCGTGCCCTGACATGGACTTGGTGGAGCCCACGAAGGGCTGGTAGCCTCAACTGATCTGTACAGTATAGGACACCTTGGAGAGTAAAGGCATTCCCGAACCCGAATCCTTCCAACATCTGCTGCCTGAGAATATGCACAAGGTTGGATCATGTGAAAGCTTATACTGCATCTATACACCTAGATGTGGATATGACCTCCGAACACTTTAGAAGAGCTTAGCGTCCCTTCTCAGTGAACACGCGGTTCACGGCACCCAGCTCCTGTACATCGCCGACGGGGGTGGACGTGCCGTGCGTGTTCACATAGCCAACTTCTTTATCACCGCCAATCTTGTCGGCCATGGACATGGCAATCTTCATACAACGCTCGCCGCCAACCCCAGAAGGGGCGACAACATCATAGCCTCAGTTGGTGGCCCGCAGCACTCTAAACACAATGAAGCAGCTCTTCTGGATACTGCAAGCACGCTTTCATGGCAAGTTTGGGGCCTCCACGCTTCCCTTGAGAACAGACACTCATAGCAAGAGTTCTTGCAAAAGACGCAGAACTAGCCATGATCAGACTTGTATCAGGCACAGTAGTCAAGAGCGTAGCATTTTGACACTCCAAACCCCATAGTTTGTTCAACAAGTTGAAGCCTAGACGCCATCAGAGTTTGCTCCATAGCCGGTAAGCTCCGCATAGATCTTTGCACCTCTGGCCTTTGCATGCTCCAGCTCCTGCTGCATCAAAGAGTATCTGGATTAGCGTAACTAATGCCAAGTCCTGGAACTGGATGAGGCACCAAAAAAATGGATGTCAAGTATGCATGGCGACAACAAGCTAGCCACTAGTCTTGCAAAAGCATTGCCCCTGCCATCCTGTGCCCCGCAAACCTTTTGCCTTCCCTAAACATATCGAATTTTCGGTTATTCAAAAGCCCAGACACAAGACACACGTACATGCTAGTTTCATGTGCAGAGTTCTAGATTCTAAATAATTCAGGCTTTGTCCCGGACGGGACAGGTACATGTCTCAAGGCACTCTGAACACGACTGTTGAGTTCTCAGTGGTTCCTCGAGGACAAGCATGCCGCCGCCTCCGGCAATGACGAAGCCATCACCTCAGATGCTGCCATCCCCGCATAAATAGGGGAGACACGGGGAATTCCATCTTTGAAAGCATGAGATTTCATCCAATGCACGGGTTGCTGGAGGATTGTATTGGGAGAGTCTATAGAGAGACTCGGGCCTACATAACCAGAATCACTTCATGGCACATAGGGTATGCTGGCATGCCGTATGTTGGCAGAAGCTGGTTTAAGCTGGAGTTGGCTTAACGTCCAAGGAACGATCTTTGTCGAAGGCTCTGGAAGCTGTGGTGGGTTCCGAGTTGCGCTTGGTCGACAAAGCGCCCATGCAGTCAAACATTGCTGTGAACTCCCAGCACTCATTCTCACCTCGCGGGCCAATCATAATCACAACCCTAGCCAAACCCAGCACCCTAAACCGTATACATCCTTGTACTAGTGTTCGCCTTGTTCGTTATAGGGCAGTCCCAACCTGCGCCCGCCATGGCCATGTCAGCCTTGTCCATCTGGATCTGCTCCATCGCAACGCCAATGCAGTGAGCCCCCGTAGAGCATGCGGAGGAAATGGAAAAGGAAGGACCCTGCAACTTGAAGCTGGAGGAAAGGACGGCGGACACGGTGGAGCCCATAGTGCGGGTGACACGGTATGGGCCTACCTTGCTTGGCCAACGCTTGACTTGGTCTGCCACGAAGCCGACACTCTCCGTGACGTCCACGATGGAGGTGCCGCCTTGGCCCAGGATGCTGGCACAGCGCTCGTTGTTCTCGTACTCCTCGGGCTTGAGCCCCGCGTCGTCGATGGCACGCTGAAGCGCAATGTATGCGAACTGCGCATTGCGGCCCATGAAGCGCAAAGACTTGCGAGGGATCAGCTCCTTAATTTCTGCATCGGTGAGATTCGGGGTGCCGCGGACCTGGCTCTTGATGCCAAACTTTTCGTACTCCTCGGAGAAGGTGATCCCAGACTTGCCCTCGTGGAGCGAGGTGGCTACTTCATCTAAGGTGTTCCCGAGGCAGCTTGTGATGCCCATGCCTGGTCGCGGATTTGGTTCGCTGATCTTGCGGCGCAACTTATGTTAACTTCGGATTATTAAAGGCTGCCGGATTAGAGCTAAATCGGGCCTGAACGGAATTATTATATGAATGGGTACGGATTAGACCTAAATCCGACCTGAACGGATTAATGGCAACACGGGAACGGAATAATGCCGCTCGGTTTAGGGTTTAGGGTCAAGGGTTTAGAGCTTAATTGAAGGCTAGGGTTTAGAGTTTAAGTAAGAGTTTAATGTTGAGGGGTTCATCAAGGTTTGGGGATCGGGGTTCAAGGTTTAGGGTTCTAGGTTCGGAATTTGGAAAATGAAGGTTAAGGGTTCAGGGTTGGGACACCCCGAAACAAATACTCCGACGTTTGATTGGGCCCCCGGGCATATTTAGAAACGTACATGTGTTGGGGGGAGGGGGTTGTAATCAGAACCCCCCATTATCTTGGCAATATCAGTTGGCGTTCATAGCACAATCGGAGCACTGATCCATCACCCACTCTGCAGTCACAAACGTGCCAAGAAGAGAGAGCCAGGCTGGCGCCTTCCATTTCCCGTCAACAACCTATGATGATGACTCTTCATCTCATTGGCTTTGCGATGTGTTACAGCCTGAGCCCAGAATCACCATCAATTAAATTTCCCCCGATAAACCAATGCTGGCATCCCCTGTGTCCCTACTTCATGACATCATTTTCAACACTTCTCACGACCTGCTTACCCGCGCAGGTTCTGGTAGAAAGTAAGCTGTCTAAATGCAGTACCCTCTTGGCCTGAGCAGCTCGAATCCTTGCCTAGGATAGCCCAAAACAGCCCAAGCCCCAATCTCTACACCGCCCCCGTATCAACCTTCCACCTGCGAATTTGTTTTTCTTTGGCATGCGATCTAATCACAAGCGTCCGGCCTGTCACCACAACCCTCCTGTCGGCGAAGAGAGTTATCCGACTCGTAGCGCGGGCCCGGCGAGCAACCTTCCAGCAGCATCTTAGAGGGGCTGTAAAATCTGGTCTGGAATTCAGGCTTTGCGGCTTGTCTAGGACTAGGAGCGAAGGCTGGCCAGATTGTACATGTAAACTTTCGGAAGCTGGCACGAACATCCTGATTCGTTGCAGAGATCATTCGAGGTAAGCTGTCTCCTACCCGGGCCAGAAGACCTTTGGCTGACTGTTTATGAGGGTGCCACCCCAACACGTGTAACAAAGCCGTTGCAGCCTATTTTTTCGTCCACTTGCGGCCCAAAAATCGCTGTTGCAAAGGGGTGTGTTGTGAGCTCGGCTATTCTCTCACAAACCTTCGTCACAAAAACGTGGCCCCAAACCCCTTACGAGCTCGATGGTGTTGCTCCGACACTGCTCCACATTCAAAGAGTGTGGTGAACATATCCAATTCAAGCGTGGTGAACGTATCCAACTCAAGGACACCTGGGCTGATGTGGACTTTGTAATCACATACTTACAGTCCCAGACCTACATACTTTGGCAAGCTTGCCTTGGCACCGGCCGCCGCTGCAAGTGCCACAGCAGCGCCAAGGGACTGCCACCCCTTTCCTGACAAGCTTTCGCACTCAGGGCCGCTGTGAGGAACTCAGGGACGGGGCCCTCAACCCTAGTACCCATGCTTTGCTAGTCCCGGAAACACTTTGCAATCAAAACGCTTTGCTTCAGGCTGTCTGCTTAGCTTCTTTGCTCTGTTCTTCCTTCTGATTTGGCCTGTCAGTTTGTCTCCTCTATTCGTTAGGGTGTGTTTTTCGCAGTGGTATTGTATGGTGTTGTCCGGCCTTACTTGCTTGCGCGCAGATTGTGCAACTCTTGCGTACACTTCATCAGCTCACGAAGCTGTTTCGTGCTCGCATGTCTGTGCGGCTGATAGACCATCCACGGACGGCAGGAAACAACAACTCTGGTACGTCTCAGGAGTACACCTGAGCGCAGTTGATACTCTTGTGGCTGTGGCTTCCTCAGCCTATACGCGAATATGACACTGGCATACGGTGACGTCAAACTGGATTCTCTATCTTGGCGTTTATTTGAAAGCAGAAGTAAGGGATTGTAAGGGAGCATCAGCCAATTTGCGGGTGCACGGTCGTCCTCATGACTATGTATCTGACCGGTTCACGAGTCAGCGGAGTAGCTGCGTTAGGCAGAATGAACAGGAAAGGTGTTATAGCCTAAGCACACAAAGGAGACCCCTGGAGCACCAGGGTAAGCATAAGAGTTGTAGACATTTATTTAGCATGCTCGAAAAGCCTACGAATAGCTCTGAGTTGCTCTATCGCTTTCCCAAACACCCCCTTGTGACTAAGACGGCTGCCCCTGCTGTCCTGAACTGTCGGTCATCCTGTCATTCCTCGGTGCGCGTGGCGCACCAGTAGCCGTTGCATCGTGGAGCCCCGTCCTGTTCAATGAATGGCACTGTGTCAGCAGCATGTGCCAAGCGTCATGCCACTCACAACACAATGTCAGCTCCAGATCCTGGATTGTATTCTATATCGAACGATGCCCAAAGTTCGTCATACAAAAGGCACAAGTATAGGAAGCACTTGAAAGTAATGCAAAGGCGAAACCGTGCACGAGCCATGTCTGTCTCTTGGTTGACATCTTCCTTTTGTCCGACATATTGACCTAACTACCGTGCATCTTTCTGGCCGGAGCGTCCTGTGGATGAGCTGTGGCTGGCCCGCCGTAAATGCCAGGCTCATTCCGAGGAAATCTCACGAAATGGGGCGGATGGAAGGGGATGCCGATTACAGTACAGTCTTGAGCCCAAACCACGCAAGAGCATCAGCAACGGCAGCAGATTGGATAGACCTCAGCCGCAAGCCGTACCCCCGTGCAACAAACATGGCACCAGCACAACATCCTAAGCATAATCCCGACCTCACAGCTCACACTGTTTTTTGCCCTTGGTATTGCAGCAACACAGCCTCAAAATGTACACCTCGATTTTTTCTTCTCCGAGATAGTCTAGCCCCTCTGCACCACGATGTTCGCAAGGCGTTGCAATGGCTTGGGCGGAACTGGCATCAGCAGCAAGATGAAGCGACATCGGCAGACTCGTCATCATCACTGGCATAGCATCAAGACGCTCTGCTTCCAGCTAAACAACTTTTCGGCCTAGCTGCAGGAAACTGTCTGTTGGTGGCGCTGAAGAACCTGCCTGTGCTTTGCTGATGAGCCCTCGTGAGCTTGAGCTGGGCCCGAATACTTGAAGACATCAAGCCAGTGAGACAGTGGGAACCGTGAATTGGCGTTGTATGTTGCTCCATGCCCCAATATACCACACAACTGATTCCCATACCCTAAGACCACTTGCCTCAAAAGATGCTCACCATATCCTGAGTTGAGAGGACTCAATAGAAAAGGGGCCCTGAATTCTCCCTAAACCCTATAAACCCTAAACCAACATTCCTTTCTCACATCCCGGAACCAGGGGCGCGGACGGCTGGGGAAGACCGCCACGATGAAGGCAGCGGCCCCCAGAAGGCCAGGAAGTGCCCAGGGCGAGCCTTGGGCTTTGGAAATTATGGGAGAATGGGGCTAGGGTTCAGGATCCAGCCTCGGGGTGTTTGGAACCTTCTAAAAGCCCCTCCAGACCCGCAGTAGTCGGCGGCCCAGCCCAAGTCCAGGATTTTTTGAAGTCTTGGTGAGCCTTGCTTCGCGCCCCCGGCCCTCCGTATGAGTGAGCATCGCTTTCTGTGCACCCCACAGCCGAGGCGGGCGCGCGATAACGTTTACAGCTATTATAGTGGATTATAGACGGACTATTGTCAAGATCCATTGCATCATCTGCTAAACACGGCAATTACTTGTTCAGGTTTGCAGACTCAAGGTTAGCGGTTTCAGGTCGTGTTTCATGCTGGAGGTGTAGGATTACGGCTGAGGATTCATAGCGCAAAAGGTCAAGGGTCAGGGACGAGGGTCTGTGGCTTTGGATTGAGGGAGATTCTCGGAGAGATGGTCTGCAAGCTTCATGATTGGTCGGAGCAGGGTTTGGGGAGGCGTTGTAGGAATGAGAGGTGGGGTATGGAGGGCTATGACTATGACGACACTACCGTATGGTACATGTACGTGAGCTGCGTTTGCCAAAATAATTCGATTTGGAAAATCCACTGTTACTTGTAGAAGCTGTCTGAAGTGGCTGGAAACGTGGGGGCCTCTGCACTAGCAGAGTGATTACAGATGTGTGGGCGCATCTACGCTTTGATGTTTGGCATCTACAAAGCAAGGCTAAACCCCACAGCTGCGAGGGCCATAAGGTTGCCGCCTGTCTCCGCCATCAGAGCTGTACTTCACTGGCAGAAGGAGATTCTGAATGTCAGGCCTTCATGTCTTCGTTTCAGGTGCTGGAAAGGGCTAATGATCCTCTGCAAGGTCTTCTTTGCAAAGTTTTGTTGGGCTTGGGACTGCCGCGGACGACGGCATAAGCAAAGCTTGAGCCAAAGCGTGAGTCATGTTTCGTATGAGACAGCATGACTGCAAGCCTTAACAGTTTGACCTGCTGCAGGTCAGAAAGCAAGTGTGCAGCCCTAGGCCCTAGGTAAGATTGACCAAATGCGGCTACAGTTGTCAAAGGCACCCGGCACAATCCCTGAAAGACTGCGCACTGCAATGCGGCTATACACGCATCACAAGATAACCCCAGAGCTCATAAAGGCATTCCCTCAAGAGTCTGCTAAACTACGCGGGAGAGCAGGGTTTAGACTTCTACCCTTCAAACTGTACGTTCCCTCCCCAGACTTTGAAAGTTGTAATGACCTCCATGGTTGCAACGCGTTCTAGAAGGTGAATCTACAGGTCTATGATGGTCTGCAATTCTCCAGGTCAAGTTCTTCAAGTCTTTATCCTTAAATCAAAATTTCTGGGCTTCGTTGCAGGTGGTTGGTGACCGGTTGCCTCCCCAGGTCAAGCCAGCACCGAAGCCGCAGCAGGCCACCAGCTGTCCTGCAGCTGCTTCTGTGGCAAATATGGGCTGTAGAGTACCAATGATGTTCCAGAGAAGATATACATATCATAATTCCAAAAGTTTAGTGCCCCTCCTGTTGCTCCTTATCCTAGATGGTTCCGTCCCTCGTGCTCCTCCTGATGCTTCTGCTCGTCCTCCCCCTGCTCCCCCCCTTTTTGTGCTCTTGCTCCAGCACGGCCGCTACTGCTGCAAAGTACAAACCTGGAAGCCTCAGCCACAGCTCTGGACCTGAAATTCAAATAGCCCCACCGAAAGCAACCCTGCAACCGTCGGTGTCCTGGCTGAACCTTGCCCTCCTTCACTGCCTGCCGCAGCTTGAGGGTGCTTTCTGTACGTGATGGCTTTCTGTATGTGATGAAGGAAATTCTGCATGAGGCTTAGCCCCTCCCATTTCTGGACATCTGAGCTTTAGGTAGATTAGATGCGTCTAGATCTCTCGCAGCAACAGTAAAAGTCAAATGGCGTTGCATAGGTACTAGATACTCTTGGCAGGTCTTCAGCCAACTCTGACAACCACCAGTGAGCCCGGCATTACATTTGCCCCAACATGTGTGGCGACACGGCATCTGTCTTAGTTCTCTGCCTCAAGATGTGGTATATAGCTGCTGCTTAGATAAGACCGCCTGATTGCAATAAATGCGTTTGATGGTCATGACTTTTAGGTGCACCCCTGCAGCTCCGTACCAGGTCTTTCAGACTCTGACTTCTGTAGATGGCTGGCTCTGTTGAGCCGAACCTCAAGCCCATGAGCTGTCAGGACAACAACCTGGTAGTTTCCCTAAATAGGGGGCAACCCCACTATAGACCCAAATTAGTACTATCCTTTTATCGGGACCCCCCAAAAAGGGACCCAAATTTTACCAAACTCCCACCTGAGCCAACCTCTCCTTGGAAACCATTAGTACCTCTACGAATGCCACTGCTCCGATTACTGATTACTATTACTCCTTGCTTCTTATTCCTATCAGATTTCTGAGTGTTGCTTGGCTATTGCTTCATTCCTAGACCCTCCTCCCAATTACCCTCCATTAGGGCCTACGTACCCATGATTGAGAGATTTATATCCCCAAATATATAAAGGTACTAGGAGGGTCCTGGTTGATAAAGCTACCAAATTTCGGGCTTCAACCTCAGGCCTCGTCCAGTGCGAGCGGGATCGAGGCGGCTGATGTGTTGCCATACTCATCCAGGTTGCACAGGATCTTCTCCTGGTTGCTGTTAAGGAACTTAAATTAAGTTACCATAACCGGCAGATTTATATAGTAAATGATAAGGTTTTCTCAATATAGCAACTTAAATTAAATTCCTCAACCGCAACCCAGTCTTGGGGGCTCTCTATGGGGGTTTCCTAAAATTAGGGGTACCTCTCGGGGGGTCCCAAAACTAGGGAATTATGATATTTGGGTGTCTATTGGGTCCCCCTATTTTGGGAAGCTACCCTATAATGCCTTTAGGGATTTGGCTCATGATAGGCTAGTGTTTGGACCCAGAAGGTCAAAGGGTTACCTAGACTGCAGATTGCCTTCTTGAGGCTGCAGTGACCCCCTATCATCCCAGGGATAATCTCCATCTATCCGAACCCTACAGTCTGAAGCACCAACCCTGAATCCTACACTGCGAAGCCTAGCTTATTGCAATTATTCTTACGTATTACTATCAGTACTACAAAGTGACTTCTGTAATTACCATTACCATTTTTCTTATTACTAAAGTTACTATTATTTCATTATTATTCAAACAACGTTTATTACTATCGTTGCGCTTGAAAGCCAAGCCCCTGAAGCTGGGAGTTCTCCGATGCCTTCGGCAACTTCAGTCGCTTTGCTGCGGAATCCATGATCCGCCGGTTAGCCTGCAACTGGGCTCCTTGAAGGGTATGTTTTTTCTAAAAAACCGGATGACTCTTACGTCTGCCCGAGGCCCCGGTTGTCTGGGAATGAGATACACTTCTGGTGAAGGGTATGGGGTTTAGGGTTTGGGGTATTACCCCCCTGTAGTGGAGAATCAAATGGAAAAGAGCATGGATAAGAACATGGCAAAGAACATGGAAAAAGAAACTGGGTATATGTAGGGGTCTAGTGGGTTGCTGTCAAGGAACTTGAATTAAGCTACCATACTGGGTATATACAGTAAACTAGGATTTCCCAATATAGTGACTTACATTAAGTTCCTTAACAGCAGCCCAGTATATTGCATGGTGTGCACCTTTATGAGTATGATTACCCCAGAATAGTGGGTATAAGCCGTAAGAATATAGGTAATAACTGCAGGCGGTTGGGGCTAGATCATAGGCCTCTTTTCAAGGGTTGTAGTGTGCAATCACATACATTGCCACGAAAGAAGGACAGTATCAGAGAAATTGGTTCAGGATTTAGAGTAACGGTTTGGGGAGTAAAGTTTCAGATTCAGGCAGTGGGGTGTGGAAATGATTGCTTTCAAACAAAGACCTTTCCGGGAGGAATTTCAGCAAAGTCTTCATATTCCCCATGAGGTTCCCAACAACGACTCTACTCCCAGTAGTAAGAGCCAAGTTGCTTGAAGATGTGGCCAGTTGCAAAGCAGCGAAGTAATGATAGTAAGAATGACAATAACAAGTAGAAACATATACTGATTGCAATATAACCCGAAACCCTAAACCGCTAGCAGCAATACAGCAAGAAGAAAATACTAATAATTTAGGAGGACCCCACCTAATAGTGGTAGAATAAGACTATAAGAGGACCCTAATGTAATCCCATTATCCCTTATAGCCACTACTACTGGGTGGAGGGCCGCCTAAACCCTAAACCCTAAATCGCAGCTTCCATTTTCTTTTCCATTATCCCTATGTACCCCCAATATATACCCTAGAATCCCTATATAACCCCTATATAATCCACCTAACTAATAATCAGTGAAGAGCCCTCAAAAGCAGAAGCTCCAAACTTGAGGCTGGCCTGATGAAGCAAAAGCCAGTCGACCTCGAAAGCAGTGGGGTAAAGGACTTCTGCTGTTTACCTTGTTCTAGTCCCCCTTAAGTAGATCGAATATGGGTATAAGGGATCTTATCATAATATACCCAAGGCCACATTCTATCTACTTAAGGGGGACTATAGGTTTTGGGATGCCTTCGGCACATGGGAGGTGATACTTGATTGCTCATGGGCTTTTCGAAGTCATTGCGCTGGATTTGGGTTTGAAGATTTCAGGAGTCTGCGGTCTAGGTCACGGCTCTCATAGGGCGGGGAGAGGCGGAGTTGTTACAGGGCATGCTAGTGAGAATGCGCGCTCCAGAACTACTGGGGGAGTATAGAAGCTGGTCCAAGGGCCTCTAGTGCACTGACTACAGCCTCCCTCAAGCTGAGGAAAAGGCCCTGCCAACCTCTACACGTTTTTTGCGCCACATAACGTTCTCCTTCATATTGGGAACTGCCCCAGTAAAACCGGACAACCAATTGGAAACTTCAGGGCTCCGTCTCACCTCCTCTCCGCTGATGTTGTGCTGCTCCATCAGCGTGGACAGAGTCTGGCCCGAAAGCTGCAGGGGGCTTCTGAAAGGCGGGGACGCCTAACAAAATCATTGGTATGTGGCTTGTGTCAGTGTAGGGCTGTGTTGGGAAGCACATATGTGTAATGAAAACGCGAGCCTGGCTCTCAGGGTTTTCACGGGATCGCAACTTCGGAATGAGTCGCAAACTTCTGTGCATTCAAGATGTGTAGGGTAGTGTGTGAAATCTGGACTACTTGCAATGACAACTCCGCAGCTCAACGCACGCCGGCCAACTGATTCTGAGCATCCGCCTATCTCATATACTGCTGGAAGGGTCCGCAGCGTTGAATGGCACAACTGTCTTGCTGAGTACAGTCACGTCCAACTGAGGCTGAAGCGCAAAGCTCGGGATAGGTGAAGACAGGTATACTATAGTCTTACTCGTAGCCCCACAACAAGTGAATGCCCAAGCCACTGATTGGGATTCCGGCTGCTGATAACATTCATGCAACACAAGACGTACAATTTATCGAAAAAGAATATCTATCACATGATCCTGCGAGGACTCAGGACCGTCGTTGTTGTGTCCACCCTTTGTGTTGCTACAACCCGCTCTTCTTCCAAGCCAGGTCCCGTGCGCAAAGAATACGAGCAGGGCAGCATATCCATATTATACGAGTGGCATATACGTCTACTTGTCCTCTCCCCTGTATCCCCTTGTTTTTCCTCAAGGCTATCCTCAGTTTCCAGATGACGGTTGATGCCTGTTAAGCAGTCAAATTCAGCAACCTCAAATAGTCGGCCTCAGGAGCCCTGAGCGTGGCAAAGCGGAAGACTTCTTTGCCTCTTGCACTGAGCCAGGCAGGACTAAATATGCTCAAGTAATCTGGGGCTACCTCCAGTGTAGTTGGCAAGGCAGTTGGCAGGTTTCAGTTCGGGCAATGCGGCAGGAGAACGAGGTAGTCTTAAGTGCAGGAGAGTATAGCCCCGTGTACAGCGGGGTTGTACCACTTACCAATGGCACCTTGTGGGCCAAAGCAGTGCAATACGCAATATGCGACCAAAGACTTTCTTCACTCGTGCACTTTAGCGTCTCTAGCCGAATCTAAGAGAGCGACTCTCCACTGCTGAACGACAAGTTGGACTGAAGAGCACGAGGATTCCAAAGCCGCACAGTTCTGACTAGCTTTAACACGCACGAGAAGGCGATCACGTCGATTGTGCCGCGAATAGACTTCTACGAATCACTTGGGTAGCCGTCTCGGAAAGGTGCAGTTGTGAATTCTGCAAGGACTTCGCCGTCATTGAAAACAAACCGCACATCAAACATGCTGGCAATAGTCGCAGCAGTGATCGTCATGATGGTAGCCTGCAGAACGATGTGTCATCACAACAACAAGATTGCTGTAGCCAAGCCCAGCTGCCATTCATGTCCACCTTGCTGTATCTTCCGTAGCCGCCCTCCTTGCCTTGGCTCCATCAGGTGAACTTTGAGGCAAAGGCCAAAAATGGCTTGAAGAACTCTTGGTAACATCTGGAGACTAAGACCTGGTGCAGAGAGGTATCTAGATGAGCCTTTGTTGTCCTCAAGGCTCCACTGCAAGAATGAAAAAACAGCGCACCACCTGGGCACTTTCTGTCTTCCAAGTAGCTTGCAGCATGCTACTGTGCATCACATGACCACCAATGGCTGCAATCTGCTTCAGCACAGCAGAAAGCCCAACCTTGCAGAACACAACCCACCTCTGCCCCAAAACATTACATGGTCCCCTTCAACAGCTACACTGATTCCTAACTTTCAGGCACCTCTTCAACCCCTTGTTTGAGGACGGCAGAAGAATTGCAACATCACCAGTTTCGTCAGCCATTGTATCAATAAGGCTTGCCGCATGAGCCTGAAATTCTAAATCTGAACCCCACGGACCTAAAAGACCTCCTCAGCCTAAACCCTGCGTACAAACCTTGAACACTGTAAGCCCTCTCTCTGACTTTGCACTTTGAAGACTTGGTAGGTTGCATAAATAGGGGGACCCCGATATAGACCCAAAAATGGTATAGTCCTTATTACAGGGACACCCCAAATAGTACCCCTAGGAACCCCCTAAACCTTAAACACTTAAACCCTAGACTCCTAAAGCCTTCAACCCTAAACTCTGAAACCCTAAGCCCTTAAACCCTAAACCCTCAAGAAACACCCGCTTGGGCCCACGCCGCCGCCTAAGGACACGCCTCCCTCTGTCTCAGCCCCCAAGCCGAGGTGGCAAGCTCCTGCAATTTAGGGCTTACAGGGTTTATAGGGTTTGGGTTTCGGGTTTTAGGGTTTAGGGTTTAAGGGTTTATGAGTTTAAGGGTTTAGGGTTTTCAGGGTTTATAAGGATAAGATTTACAGGGTTTCCAGGGTTTGTATTTCTTGGGCCATAGGAGTTTGGCCTATTCTGATGGTATGAAGCTTCTAGCTAGCAGGCATAAGTGGACATGATCATGAAAGCTGTCCTGAGGCCTGAGGATAGCTCTTATAGTGACCAAGATCTAGATTGTGGACGTGTCAGGCGAGGAAACCAGCGATAAAAACAGGTGGGGTGTCAATCTTTGGGCAGCTATGTCGTTGACACACAGCCAAGCTTTTCGAGGGCCGGAAGTGTGGAGATTCTCAATCCACAAGCACTGCAAATGGAAGTGCCAGTACATGCGCATAGCAGCTAGCATAGAGCTAACACCCCGGCTGATGCAAACTCCCTCAATTCAGCAAGTGGCTAAACCAAGCGGATTTGCTGCAGGAACAGGCTGCAAACCCAGGACCTCAACTATCACCATTGCCGTTCCTGCTGATCACTTGATGCAAGGCAAGGGCTCCAATGTGAACGTTATTTCTCATCTCAGCTGCAGTCCGTTGCCATCGCTGCCCATGCGAAAGCCAATCAATGCCTCAGCAGTAAGTGGGGTGCTCTTGGGTTTATGGTGACTGGTGGCTCAGATTCTAGGGGCTTCTCTAACTGGGCCACTAGAACCAGTAAGTAGATGGAATGACGAACGGACATGCCAAGCTGCGCTCCAGAAGAAGAATCACGGTTCATGTTGCAGTTTTCCTTTCCCCAAGAGGCGTGGTGGGCTTGCTAGGCTACGTCGGAAGGTATACGAGTTGATGTGCCCTTGTCCCTTCTCCAATCTTGAGACGCATTGTTTTGGGAGGCCGCGCTTCATCGGCCCGAGAAACAAAGCTTGGATCCTGGCATCCTTCTCTGCGTCCGTTGCGGTGATAACTACGGCGCCGGCACCGTCGCCAAAGAGGACGCAGGTATTCCGGTCAGACCAGTCGACCCAGCGGGATAAGCCTAAGTCATGCCAGCTGAAGGAAAGAGGTCCTTTCTGCTGGACTTTACGGGCATGCGCCAAGGCTTTGAGGGGTTGTATATGTACTATTTCGAGCTGCTTCCCTTGGGTTGGAGAAGGCTCGGGTAAGGAGCTCTGCGACTTGGTGCACATGAGCTGCTTCAATGATCTCACAAGCAGCTGTCAGACTGCCATCTCTTACTTGCTTGAAGTCGCTGGTCCAGCAAAACCTTCATCAAGCAAGTACTGCCGCGTGCCAAGGTCCATGGATCATTTGAACTTCCTAGACCTCTAGAATCATATCATTTCAATGGAGGCACGGTATGTTGGCGAAATTTTGCAGCAAGAAGTAAACAGTATATCTCAAATGCATTGTCAAGGACAGGACCCGTAGATGGTCCAGCTAGTGCGCAGGCAAGTCGTAAACTTTCTTGCTGCGCATGATAGAGCAGCATTACAGTCATCTGCAAAAACCCGCAGAACATAGGAGACTCAGCTAACAAGTGATGAACCTAATGCCAGCCAGTACTCAACTGAGGTCAAGGGCAGTCCGCGCCGATGACGACCGCATTTTTAAAGGAGCCCGAGCCTGGGCACAAGGGCTGGAAATTCCGTGGATGCTTACGACTAGGCAGCTTTGATAGAGAACCCAGAAAAAACCTTGGGTTAGGGAGTGCCGCTGGGCCCCGACCGGTCACCCGGCACATCCACATGTCTAGCGTCTAGTGTTTAGTAGAGCACCAACAAAAGCATTTCTTACGGCGGTGGGCCTGTGTGGTCAGAAGGGAGAGGCCAGAGGACACCCTTGGGTAACGCTGCGGTTGCAGCAAGTAGCTTGACGAACTGAGGCCTGCACGCACGTACTGCGCTGCAGTAGTCAGTGCGAAAACAAAGCCTGCGCCACAAACTTTGCATAAGGCATTTCCAAGTACACGAGCTCATGGAAACGCTTCTGCTTGAGATCAATTTCTCCATCATCCATGGCTGTTCCAGAGTGTGTCATGCTTGCCGAAAATAGGAGCCTGCAGTCCAGACCTACCATGGCTTCTCAAGACCCGACAATTCCCACTCAGACGGCCTGAACAGGCTGCCGTCAGATCGAAGGCTACCGCCTTGTCAGCACCAAGCATCGATGCCACCTGCAAAATGGTGATTCATATACATGGACAAAATGAAATGAATGAACTGCATATGCATCATGGTTAGATCATCCGATCGACAGCCAAACAAGCTGCTGAGCCAAGTACATGCGAGCTCATGACCATGCAAAACACGGCAGTGCCAGCTAACAGAAACCCTACATGTACAACCTTAGCTTCCATTCCATTTTCCGCGCCCTTTTCCATCTGATTCTCCGGCCTGTGGAAGTTGGGGAGTAGGATCATGCATTGCCTTCCCATGCCGTCCACACCTTCCTAGTGCCTGCATCAGCAACACCCCATCGAATTAGGCGGCTGACTTCTCCAATTTGCTGTAAACTGTCCATGGCATGCCAAGATGCCACGAGGCCAGATGTTGGGTCAAAAATGAGCGAATGAAGCTGCGAGTTGAACTGATCGATATTTGTGCTGTGTTTGATCTTATTGAGTATCAGTTCCTTGTCAATCTCAGAAGACGCACGCATGCTCCGAATATCCAAATTCTCCAAAGTGTCACAGAGAACAATGCCTGTGGGCCAGTTCCGAAGAGGTCGTCCGGCGTGGATGTGGCATGGATGACCAGGTCGATGTCTTGGGGCGACATCCTTGGGCTGCAAACGGAGCAGAAAATAGGGTGGTCTCATTGAACGACTGCGGCATATACTGACTAACAGGATCAGTGAGAGCAGAACAGTTCTCGAACATAGGGTCTGTGGTTCAAGCTGTTGGTATGGACCATGGATCTGAGACTTGAAGCTTGGTGTGACCGGTGAGTAGTTTGTAGCAATCGGCTCTGCATGAAACCCCAAGCATCATTGATCTTGACCTTTGTGCCACACCAGCAAATTTCCGCAACCAAAAGATTCAGGGAAGGAAGCCTGGAAGCCTCACGCGAAGCCATTTAGGGTTTAGGGTATGAACTTGTTTAGAACTGACCGAAAGAGCCCCCAAAACGAGAAAGGACCGAACCCAGGGCAGTGTTCGACGCTCTGTATATCAGCTGTAAAAAGCAGATGGACCAAGAAAGAAATACAAGGCTCCACGACAACAAGGTCAAATGTTACCAGGCACTTGTAGAGGCCCAAGCCAAGCAGGGATTGATGATGGAACCTCTTTCCGTCATATCAGTACACCACTCTTCAAACCTAGACTTCCCACCTCGGTAATGGAACACAACCTTGCATGATTCGAGCATGCGGGCAGGAATCAACAGGAACACTGACAAAATGCATAAATCATCACGTCTGAGCCTGTGCTTCAGCAGAAGGTCCCTCAACATTCTGCAACAGGGCTCTCAGAATTGGAGTCTGAACAGGCTATGGTGGCCTTGGATCACTCTTACAAGCTACGTGCGCGGAGATCAGAGGTGGGCTTGTTTTTGAGAGCCCTGTAATGTATCCCCCCAAAAAAGGTACCCCTAATTTTGGGAAACCACAATCCCTATAAATCCCTAGAGAATCCCAGTTTCCATTTCATTTCCCATGTTCTTTTCCATTTGATTCTCCATTATAGACCCTCATGGTACCCCTCCACGTGCTGCAGTTCGTCTTCGCGGCTTCAAGAGCTCTGGTTGCAGCTTTGGCAGACAGCGATCTGGCAAGTAGATTGCTCTTGGTTTAGGGTTCATTAAGGGTTTAGGGTTCAGGGTTTGTCTTGAGTCCTGACTCCTTGGGGTAATATTGGGGTTATATTGGGATGATGGAAAAGAAGATGGAAACTACTATATTATATAGGTTTTTTTCTGGAGACATACAGGGATTATATCGGGGATCTCAACTAGAGCCTAGGATAGCCTAGGCTTGCCTTCAAGATTTTACGCTCCCATAATGAAGGTGACGAGAACGTCTACGGGCTTTGGGAGGCTGTGGGCTCTTGTGTTTTACTACAGCAGGGGAGACTATGTCGGGAGGATCTGAGCGCTTATAGCCAACTTTGCAAATATGTTCAAGGATCCTTCATCACTACTGTTCGCACATGGTATTGAAAATGCAGCCCGCTCATGAAATAAACCCGCATGCAGGACCTGCTTTATGCCCAGTTGCCTCTGGGATAGGAGGCACATGCCCCTTCAGCCTGGTGAGGATGAACCTCTGTTAAATCGAGATGGGCTATGTCATTTCAGCGCTTCCTGATTTGGCTGTTTTTGATGCTTCCGCCCTTCGACTCAGACAGCTAAAGCAATGGAAGGGGCACGCTAGCGTCTCATCAGGAGCCAGGACGTGTCTTCTCCTGGCAGCAAGTTGCAAGCTTTGATTTGCAACTTGAGAATCTGAAGGGGAACCACAAACAAAACGCCCTAATCCTGCTTGGCCAACAGTTGCCTAGCTGCCCGGCCCCCACACGCTCTGCCTTGGCCTGGGCATGTAAATGTGTAAACTACAAGCCTTTCTGATTGAAGGTTACCTAAGCCGCGCCTGCCTGTGAGGCAACTAAGTGACATCCGCATATCAGAACGCATGAAGATATCCTCTTGCACACACAGGTTTGGGGAAAATAGAGGGCCAGGGTGCTGGGCTCAAGGCTAAGAGGCTTAGAGGATGCCTGATCCCCGTGCGCTGCGAAATCCATTCATCGCTGGTCTCCACGATCTCCGCTAGATCGTCATTGGAGACCTTGGGCTCCAAATACTGGATCGCAGCTTCGCCCGTAATGGCAGTTGCAAGAGTCTCAACATCAGTCGTGACTTAGAAAAGCGCTTCAATACATTGCATTGACCTTGCAATCATCCCCTTGCCCACCCCACCAAATGCGGCTCACGACGGAAACGCCTGCGTATCAGGGTGCCGGCTGGATGCCAGTCTATCATCTATAGGTGCATTGGTGTAACCATGCTGAGCAGCCACTGGTTCCGCTCACAATCTCAAAAGGATAATTTTTCCGACCTACTTTCACAGGCTGGAATGGCTGAGAGAGCATCGGCACAAAAATGCACACATCGGACACCCAGCATCCAAGAAGCAAAGACACTAACCATCCAAAAGAAGTGCCGCAAGGAATTGAGATATACCATCATCCTTACGAAGCCTCGGCTGGCCCAGCTGGGTGCTAATAATTAAGGAAAAAGTTTGCCCAGGCACGACAGTTTCAGGAGCTGCCGAGCCCGTGCCCACCACCTGAGAGGAGGGGCCGGGGTATTTCAGAGCTGCTGGCTGCAGGTGCGATGGTTCCGGAGGCGACCGTTCCCACGTCCAGGAAGGCATGGCTAAACATTTCGGAAGACCCCGCATCGCTGGTAACCACAAGTTGCCTCTAAACGCACATCTTGGCATTTCTGCGTGTTGCCAATTTCAAACACCCTGAGTCAAACGAACCCCTAATCCCGAACCATGTGGAATGCAACGCATATACATAATGACAACAGCTTACTATAGATGCTAGAAGGACCACAAGGGGACGATTTCCTAGTCATTTGGATGCCCACATAGGATGAGGAGTTTACAGTGCACAATTGTTCCAGCTAAGTCCAGAATGCCAATGACGACCTCGCTCAAGGTCTGATGGGGCACGGTCACGCTGCAGCGTGATGAAATTTTCACGATTCTCCACACCCGCAACTCCAGTTTCCTTACGAAAATCGGTTTGTCAATGTTTCCCGCTAAACCACAAGCGGCAGCTAGACGAGTGGCGGTGCGAGTGGTGGTTTGTGGCGGTGACGGCAGCTGCTGCTACTATAGTCTAGTGTACTTCACGTCGATCCCTTCTTCTACCACGAAGACGATTACTACGACTATTGCTACGACTATATACGTTACGACCACTATAACTGCTACTGCTGATACGACTACTGCTACTAATACTATTATTATTACTGCGAAGACGACTACTACTGCCCATATTGCTCTGACATGCATCCACCACTGTCCCTTGCTTGCTGCCGAATTGAACCATGACGTTAAAAAGTCGTGGGTCAAGCCTCCTATTACTCCCGAAGAATTCCTGCATGCAGTGATAACACTGCTTAGACATTCCTGTATCCCTGCGCGACACCCAGGTGCAGCTTGGTTGTTGTGGTTTGGCATGCCGAGCCGCGGAGATGCCAAAAGGAAGCGCCCGAAGCCGCCGTCGGTGGCGCCCGGCAGCCACAGCGCCGCACAGGCCTGTTTGACACAAGAATTGCCAAAGTCTACCGTAGGACCGCTATCGCACAAATGACCCACAGACTGCCAACCACCCCAATCCGAAGCTCAAAGCCTCCCTAAACAACCCCATACCCCAAAAACCTACGGCCCCAAATCCTAAACCCGAAACAACACCAAGCCCTCAGCCTGATACCTCCATACCTTTCTACGCAACTCCTAATCCTAAACTATAAACAAGGCTATTAAAAAATCAAGAAACTCCAAACCCTAAACCTACAAACCCGTACCCCCTATCAAATCCTACACACACCGAAAGATATTGCGGCATGCTTCAGCCCAACAAAGCCGTCAATGCCACCTGCGCATGCAATACGAATTTCCATGCTTGCAGCTCTTGGCACAAAAGTCAACCCTGGACAGAGAATTGAAAGAGAGGGAGCACATCAGGCGAACTTTGGGGGCAACATCGCAATGTATGGAATATGGCCTAATTAAGCTAACAGCCCGCCCCATTTTACCCACCGCGCTGAGTCTACGCGGCTGTAACACGAAAGGAGGCTGGAGGTTCCAGCTGCCTTCACATGGCATTGAAAGCACAGTAGGGCTCAGGATTTCTTAACGCCGGTACCAGGCATGGCAAAGCAGCTGTTCAACAGCCATTTCTGTGAAGGACTGGGGCTCCAGCTCAAGAGCTATGCGATTCGCAGCAGCATTGGTTTGTAGACTGTGCGCATGGAACGGGCCCCAGGGCCTCCGTGCACCCTTCGAATACTTACACCAGCTTGACGATCAAAATTCTTCAAAACCTAAACCCTAACTCAAATCCCTACATTAGTTGCTCTGGGCGAACCACCCGACCAGCACGCAAAGTCACAAAAAAAAAGAAAGAAACTCCCAAAACCAGCACCCCATGACCAGCAACGGATCGGCCTGACAGCCCCACCCATGGCGCGGCGCTCCGTGCGCTGCTGCCTTCAGCGCGACGTGGGGCACTGGCGCCGGGGGTCGCCAGGGCCTGCGCCTGCAGAGGAAGGCTTGATTGCCGTTTATCGGGGTTTGCAATATGAAGGCATGCAACTGCCTATTTAGGGCATACCTTGGACTACGTGGGGTTTGGTGTTGAGGACTGGGGTATGTAGAGGATTGCAGAAGATGGACCTAGTTCTGTGGAATGAGGCTCTCCTGCCGACTCCGGAGGTAATTTGGTGGTCTTGAGACTATTGCTCCAAGCTCTTGGTGGGGTCCCCCACACATAGACCCCGATTAGGAGGTAACGCAGTCTATTCAAATGAAGTAAGAATTGGGATGGTCGGCTCTCGTTCCGCATCTCATTTTTTGGGATCTTTGGCTAACATATAGACTTAGTAAGGGGGAACAGGAAATAGACCCAATCTAGCCACTGTAGCTTCCAAATCAAGACGAACGAAGAGAACCAGGCTGTAGCTTTTGCACCTAGCGCGTCAGCAGCGGTTGCCTAACTCAAAAAACGGCGGCTCAGACCTGGCTGCCTAACAGTCTTGGACGC